TGTGCCCCCGTGCCCGTGCCCCTGCCCCGCGCCCCCAGCCGTGCCCGCGGCCCGGACCTGCCCCGCCGTGGCGCAGAGCGTGTCGTAGCTGATGCCCCCCGTCTCCCAGTTCTTCAGGCGGGCAAAGCGGGGCGGCTCCGCGGGGGAAGAGGGCGCCGGGCTGGGGGGCGACACGGGGCACCCCTGAGACCTGCCGGGCACGGGGGCTCAGCCGGGGGTCTCGGGGGAGTGGGGAGAAACGCATGCCCCCTCCGCACTTGCTGCCGGGCTCTGAGCCCGGGACCCCTCGGGCGCGGGGACCTGCCCGGGGGATGGCGACCGGAGGGCCCCGGGCGGAGGGAGCAGCGGCCGGGCTGCGGCGGGGACCGGGGACGTCCCCGACATCTGGTGCTGCTGGGGGCCGGGGGGTCCCGAGCCCCCGCATCCACCGCGCGGGGTGGGGGTGGCAGGGAACGGGGGCAGGGGATGGGGAGGCTCAGAGGGCGGGGGCGCCTCAGGGTGGGGGCAGAGGCTGGGGGGCTGAGCTGGGGGGATCAGGGGATGTGGAGATCAGGGGACGGGGGAACGGGATGGAGGGCTGAGCTGGGAGTCAGGGAATGGGAGATAAGGTACGGGGGGCTGAGTTGAAGGGATCAGGAGTTGAGGGGTCGGAGGATGGAGGGGGCGCGGGCCGTGTGAGTGTGAACAATGGCCATGAGTCAGAGCGGGCTCCGGGCCACCGCGGGGGGAGGACAGGCCCCCCGCCCCATGCCCGTCCCTCCCGAGCCCCTCCGAGGTGTGGGGTCCCCACTCCTCCATCCCCACTGGACCCCACGGACCCCTCCCCATATGTCCCCCGATGTGCCCCCAGGCCGCTCGCCCCAGCGCAGCCCGGCGGGTCCCACGGGCCGCCGGGGCCGCGCCGTGGGCCGGGGACACCGTCACGGCGCCACGGGCAGTGCGCACAGGGCTCAGCTGCCGGCGGGCTCCGTGTTCTGCCCCAGCGCCCCACGCGAGCCTCCCCGTCCCCTCCACGGCGGGACACGTCTCCGGTGGGCTCGGGCCGTGTGCGAACATCCCCGCCAGGGAGGAGGGGGTCCCGACGAGGCCCGGAGCTGCGGCAGGTGAGTGCCGGTGCCCCGGTGCCCCGTCCGTCCTTTCCGCCCCATCCCTCCCCATCCACCCCGTCCGTCCCACCGGGGCTCCTACCTGGGGGGCTCGGTGACAGCGGCGGGGGCAGCGGCGACAGGGGGGTCCTCGGGAGCGGGGCCGCGCGGGCGCGAGCAGAGGCCGAGGCCGGGGCAGGCGCGGGGGGCTCCGGGCAGGACCCCCGGCAGGTTCCCCATCGCGGCCCCACTGAGCCGGGAGCGGCCGCTTCCCGCTTCCTACTGCCCGGGGAAGTGGTGACGAGGCCGCGACGCCCCCGCCCCGCACACAATGGGCACCGCCACCGCCACCGTCACCGCCACCGCCGCGCCGCGTGGGACGCACCGGCCACCCCAGCGGAGGGCGTCGAACCCGCTGTGACCCCCGGCCCCCGGGCATGCGGCCATGGGGGGGGGAGCGACGGCACCCGGAGAGGGGACACGGCCCTCGGGGAACTTGGGAACACGCATGACACCCGGGTGGGACGCAGCCCTGGGGGGAGCGTGGAACTGGGGGGGATATGTGGCCCTGGGGGGCACGCACGGCAGCCAGAGGGGGACACAGCACTGAAGAGGATATGGCACCCACGACACAGCACTGAAGAGGATATGGCACCCACGGGGGACACGGAACTGGGGGGACACGCACGGCGCCGGGAAGAGCATACACACGGCACTGGGGTGGACATGGCACCCTGGGGACACAGCGATGACACCCAGCGGCAGGACACAACGCTGATGTGGGACACACAGCACTTGGGGGGCCGTGGTGGTGGCAGGGACCCCCATCCTGGCCACAGAACACTGTGCCCCCCCCATCTTTGCAGCGGGCGATTGGATGCCCCGGGGGGGTTCCCGGGCCGGCCCCAGCCCCCCGGCCGTGGGGCGGATGTCCTGCGGGACCCCCCCCATTTCCCGCTGCTTCCACCCACTTCCGGCCATTGACGCGCTGGGCGCTGCCGGGGACCCCCAGGTCAGCGCCCCGGGGGAACCCTGCAGGGGGGCGTGCACCCTGCGACCCTCCCGGGGGCGCCCTGGGAAGCCGGGCGGGATGGGGGGTTCACCCCAGCTGTCGGCGGGGAGGCTCCTACGGCGACCCCGGAGTGGGGCGGGGGTCGCGGGGGTCGCGGGGGTCGCGGGGCTGGGGGTCCGGGACGGGGGTGCTGTCGGGGTGCGGGGGGTGGCGGGGGTAGAGGGGTCTCCCGGGTCCCGGGGTGAGTCCTTCCGGAGGTTCGAGGAGGGGCTCGGCCCGCAGCTCACGCAGCGACGGGAAACCGCGCCCGGTGCCGGCTCGGCGGTTCCTTCCTGCGGGGGGAGAGCGGGGCGGGGGTAACCGGGAGGCGCGGGGCGGGACCGGGGCACGGTGCGGGGGGCAGAGCCGGGCCGGGGGGCGCCGCCGGGACCGCGGGGGGACACGGACTGGGGTCCGATCAGCCCGTCTCGGGGGTCCCGGCTCGCCGGCCCCGCCTGGGGGTGTTCCCCGCCCCCCGGCCGTGGGGCGGGAGAGGGCTGTCTGTCACGACAGAGCGCCCACCCGATCGTCCGCCCTGCCCGGGGGGCGGGACTCGGCCACGGGCAGGCGGGGGTGATGAAGGTCAGGCCTTGATCCCCCCCCGCCCCACAGCCCCTCCAGTTCCACAGCCTCCCCTGTGCCACGGCCTCGGCCAGCCCCACCGCCCCCCGTAGCCCACAGCCCCCGCCCGGCCCGGCTGAGCTCCGCTTGGTCCGCTCTGTCGGATCAGGTCCATCTGGTCAGTCCGGTGGATCCATTTGTGTCCGGTCGGTCCTATCGGGTCTGGTCGGTCCCAGTCGATCCATTCGGGTCCATTCGCGCCCGTTCGGGTCCGTTCGAGGCCGCTGGAAGCCTCTTGCAGCCGGTCGGTCGAGCCGGTCGGGGCGGGAGTGGTCGGATCGGTCGGCTCCGGTTGGCGGAGCCCGCCCGGCCGGACCAGCTGGTTCAGTCGGTGTATTCGGGGCCGTTCGGGTCCGGCTGCTCCAGTCGGGTCCGGTCACCCCGGTCGGTCCCGGTCACCGCGGTCGGTCCCGGCGGTCGCGGCCCCGGGCCCGGAGCCATTTTCAGCACCTGGGACAGAGACCGGGAGCGTCCAGGCCAGCGTCAGGCTCGGGACTAGACCGGGACCGGGCTGGAACGGCGCGGAGCTGGCTCTGGGACTCGGGGCTGGACTGGGCTCTGACCGGGACTGACACCAGGACTGGAAGAGAACTGGGACTGGACTGGGCTGACGTGGGACTGGGATCGGCGCTGGGACCAGAACCATGGCTGGGACTGGGATTGGTCTGGACTGGAACAGGGCTGAGACCCGGACTGGACTGGGAGGGATCTTTGTGACTGGGACCAGACCTGGGCCAGAAACGGACGGGGAGTGGATTGGGACTGCATTAGACTGGGAAGGAACTGGACTGGTCTGGAAGTGGACTAGAGCTGGAATTTGAGCTGGGACCGGGACTTGGACTGGACTTGAACTAAAATTTGGACTGGATGGAGACTGGTACTGGGACCAGACTGGACTGGGAATGGACTGGGAGAAGGGGGACTGGGATTAGGATTTAACTGGGAGTGTGACTAGACTGGGACCACAACTGGACAGGACAGGGACTAGATGAGGTCTGGGCTGAGACTGGGACTGGAGAGGACTGGGAGTGGGACAGGGACTAGAACTACGACAGAGACTGGAATTAGGATCGGATAGAGAATAGGATTAGACCGGGATCGGGCCTAGGATAAGGGCTGACCTGGGACTGGTACTGGAGCTGATGCTGGTTTAGGCTGGGTGGGGAGGCTCCCAGCAGGACCCAGCTGGGGCTGTGTCTGGATGCTGCGCTGCTGCCCCACATGCCCCGTGTTCCCATGTCCCACTGTCGCCGTGTCTCAGTGTCCTGGTGTGCCAGCGTCCCCATATCCCGATGTCCCAGTGTCTTGGTGTGCCACTGTACGTTATTCTGGTGTCTTGGTGTCTACATGCACCAATGTGCCCCAGCGTCCCGATGTCCTG